AAGGCCATGGCCACCCAGCCCTGGCCCGTGGGCATTGAGGCCATGGTTGCCCAGCCCCGCTGCTGAGGCTTCTGCCGCTTGCTGGTCTCAGCCACGGCTTTAGAACATGAAATGAATTTTTCTATGGCTTCTCTTGCTGTGAGCACCATGGCGTTCCTCCTCGCCTGGTTCTTTTTCCCTTCTGTGATGGAACATTTCACCTACTGCTTTTTTGGGGTGTTTAGACCATTTCTATGATATTTTCTTGATACAGAAAGTGTTTCTCTACCCGAGATGACTGGTGGGGGCTGGCAGGGCCTGGGGCAGGCTGTCAGTCAGAGAGGAGTCTCACCCAGGCACTGCAAACAGAGATGTAATAAGCCAGCTGCGGGTTAATTTCTTGTTTGTGGGTGTATTTGACATTATCTAAGCACAGTTTATCACTTGGAATAGGTGTGTAGTCTGGACTGGAGATGACCGGGTCTTCTTCTTCAACCCTACAATGCAGCTGTCAGTCTGGGAGAAGCCAGTGGACCTGAAGCACCGCGGCGACATAAACCGGATCATCGAGGATCCTCCTCACAAGCGCAAGCTTGAAGCTGCAGCAAGTAACTAAAGCCCTGTGATTATTTGCCTCTATTTAAACTCAAATGTCGAATGAAACTTGGTCACTAAATACGTTCAGTGAAAGTTTGATAACCATAATTAGAAGGGTTTTTCTTTTGGGATTTCATATAAATTGTGTTAAAATTGATGTTTATTGCAAAATCCTTATTTTCACTGAAATGCTGAATTGGGGGTTAGAGCATTCTCATTATTGGCAGTGAAGAAACAGGTGGCTTCTTATATTGGATGAATCTTTGATGTATAAAATACATCTCAGAAGACGCTGTCTTTATGTTTTGTTACACTTATTTCCAAGATGTACATTAGGAATGCATTACCAATGCATTATTCAGCTGTTACGCAAAAGCAGACGCTCCATAGCTAACGATTATCCAACCAAGTTGTAGAGGGCAGAAAAAATCCCAATAGTAAATCTCTAATGAGTGCTAAAAGGTTTGGCGGAAACGTGGGTGCTTCCATCTAAACATGACTCTGCCAGTCACCTTCTAAACACTGGATTCCTGAAGGGGACAGTCGTGGCTAAAGAATAACTGCTGATCTGCAGTAATACAAGTTAAGTGGTTCAAAATGCAGTTGAAAAGACACCCCTTGGCTTGTCAGTGATCCAAGGTGTTTGCTATCTGGTCCTCCCCAAGACGGCCAGTTCGCAGTGGCAGTTTTCCTAACCTGACTTCCATCCCATCCCATGCTCCTTGCCATACCATCGTTTTGGTCTGCTATCCATACCCTAGTTGTTCAGTCCAGACTTTGTCTGTGCTGATGACCAGTCCCGGAGCAGCCCAGCATGCCAGCCTGTGCTTGCCAGTGCAGTAGTGGCTCCATAGTTTGTTCCACCACATTTCTCTCCAAAGATTATGTTTCACCAGTTTTTGTGGTCTCCCTGTTACTGGGAACTGCTCCACCCTGTGTCAGTCCTCCTTTTATTTCCTGATGCTTTACATTGGCTTTCATGTGGGAGCTGTGTCAATAAGACCTGCCATTACCGGGAGGACATCTAAATGCACGGCAGTCATTTGAAATACTGCTTGTCTTGATTAGCTGCTTGTTATTCTGGAATATTCTGCTTTACAGCAGTTTCACTGGAGAGCCTCCTTCAGCTGATGCCTGTTCTTTAGTGGTGAGGTCTAGAAAAATGGAGGGAGAAAAAAAGAGACTTTTATCATTCTTTAAAAGTGTAGTATTGTATAACTGAAAATAAGGTAGCACTGCCAGTCTTGTGAAGTGACCTGCCTTTTACACTCAGGCCATTGGGGGCTGTAATGTATGCTTTGATCCACAGGTAGAGCTCCCAATTAACTACCGCAAAACAGGGGCTGTGAGCGTGCATTTCTGGACTTGAAACACTATGTCTGCAGGTAGATAAAAATGAGTGGTAAATCAGGATTTACGTTATAAGTATTAGCAGCAGGTTACTGAAGAAAAGCTACAGAGAGTGGTCTTCTATTAGTGTATTCCTTATCAACTTATAATGTCATTACATTTTCAATATAAATTTCAATCGTCAGATGCTTGTATATGTATCATTTTTGTATATGGCTTGAATAACTTTAGCTGTATATCTAATAATTCCAAAGTGTATCTGCGTATGTTTTTTATTACAGGATATATTGAAAGATCAATTAATTACTGACAAGGGGGAATGATGGCCAAAGACAAAACTGAGGGTCATTGTTCACGGTCTATAATTAATTAATGAGAAGAGCCTAAAGTCATTGATGATCTGTGCCGCTTCAAAAATCTGTGTTTTGCTGTGTGTTCCATCCTTTTTATTTATTATCTATAAGTAGCACCAAGATTTGATTCATGCACCAGTTTCTTTATGACCATGGTTTTCATTGTTGCTAATGGTCTTCATCTTCCTTGATATAATTGGGACTTGTGGTTGCTCAGTATTTGGGACAGTCAGGTTATAATTAGTATATATTAGCTGCTGAGGTGAAAGGAATTATTTGTTACCATTTCTCTTAGCTTGTAATCTCGAGTAAATAAATAACACAAATGAGCTGTGTGTTTGCAACAACGGTTGCCAAATTTATTTAGCTTAGTTGCTGCCGCTGAGTTTTAATTAGAATTTTTAAATCAAAGGCACAAAAAAAGTTGGCAAGCATATTTATTCATGGGGTGCTATAGGTTATCTGCGCATCACTCCGCTGAAAGATCAAGTGCATTTATAATTTAGGCATAAATGAAAAATTACTCATTTATCAATTACTCCGCCTCCACAAAGTATTAGTTCTTAAGGAGATTTATGAAGGTGTCATGGCTCTTTACTAATGGGTTCCCATCAGGCCATCCTGTGGAATCGGGGAGGAGGAGCAGCTCCTCCCGTGCCTCCGGAGCAGCTGCACAGGCACCTCTGCTGTGGTAGGGCAGCTCTCGGCCAGCACCACCCCAGCCCCTCCGACGGGGACGTCACCTGGGTGAAGGGACCCACCGCTGACCATACACAGGGCCAGGACAGAGACGGCGTTTCCAGGACTTTCATACCTTGATTTTCCATGTTCCCAAGTCAGAGCTGTCTGACAGCAGAGTGCAACATCTTCTGGTGACAGCTCTCTCTTCTTGTCCCTGACTGTCATTACTCCTCTGTCTCAGTACGGTCACAGACTGACCATAATATCCCTATTTTCCCTCAAAGATTCCTTAAAATGTTTCTGTCTTACTGCAATGGAGAAAAACATTTTTATCTATTCCTGTTCCTCCATCTGCTAAATGGTTGGTCTGGATGTTTAGGCTGAGAAAGTTATTTTTTCAGATAATTAAAAGAAAACTGACGTTCTGAGTACAGAAAACAGCATGTTGATTCATACTTGGTATGATCCCTATTCAAAACCAGTTATGATTTAGTTTACTCTGTCCCACAAATATTTTGGACCCTTTAGCATTCAGACAAAAATATGAAGCACGGTTCCTAGAAACAGCATAGGTAAGCTCCGAGGCTTATGTGTAATACATGGGTGCCAGGTCTCTTTACAAAATTGCAAATCAGATTTTTGCATGTGGCCGATGGATTGACAACACTTTAACTCACCTGGTAAATGCTGGTGTTTCCTCTTTGTTCTGGAAAATGAACCGGAATTCATGACATGGCTGGGATTAGCTGAATGATTTAATTAATCAGCACTAAGCTTGGTAGACCATCAGATGGGGGCAGTGCTCCGCTTCATGATTTCGTGGGAAGATTACTGTCAAGTAATATTCTTCCTCAAAGCTTTAAATCAATTATTAGATTTTGTGCTCGGCTGCCTCTCTTTCCTTTCAAAGTCAGTTTATAATCTTACCAGAGGTCCAGCGATGTGATTCAGTAGGTTCCTGAGTGAGAGTATAGATACCATTTGTCATGTTTTACTGAGTTTTCCGTTGCACTGAAATTTTAAGTGATGATGCTGACTCTAATCTTGTCCCATTTGTCCAAGACAGTATACCCATAGCAGTCACTCGTGCAGGCAAAGCGAGAAGGAATTGGTGTCCCTCCCTCAGGGAGGCTGTCATTGCTCTCTGGGAGAACCTGAGGTGTATCAGGAACCAGCAGATGGAAGTAAACACTGAAATCAGGGTGTCCTGTATCACATTTCTTTTATCTGAAGGCTGTATGGTAGCTAAGATTTGGTTTTATAAATGTCCAGTTCACGTATTTTTCACAACAAAATTTAAAAATTATATATGCTTTTCAGAAATCTGTGAAAGATCTTGCTGTAAGATGACTTCAAATTTGAGTTCACCTCCAAGTAGCTGGAGAACTTCACATAATCGTTTGTCATCACCAGTGAGTTTTCTCTTGTCCTGTGGAAATGTCGAACAGGAAAGGCTCACTGCGTGGGCCAGGCTTCTCACCGCTTGCTTGCTTTACTAAAAGAACAGCCCATCAGGATTCATAATGTCTGAGCATACCACAATGTATGTCCTTTAGCCGGCTCTGGAAGGGCTCTCTATGGCGTGTGACAAATGCAGAAGGTGCCCCGCGAACATGGCTTTTTCTTTTATTTTCTTTAGTAGTGGTGGAATTTGGTAGGAACAGGACAGTGCTTGCCCAGTCAGCACTGCACCTAGAGACATCTTTAACTTCATCTCCCCCTGAAAACACCATCAAGTACTCTGTCATTTCGTACTATTATCTTCAGAATTCATTAAACTTAAGACCACCGCTGCCTCCGCAGGTTGTTCAACTCCAGATTAATAGCTTTATAATATCTCTGTTGAATTACATTCCACCTTCTGAGTTTACAGGTTGTTTTTCCTATTACTTTATATTTTTAATTTAGTAACCCAAAGAAGAATTTAGCAAGAAGACATAGTAGTTCCAGTGAATTTATGTATAGTTAAAGCATTATTAAATTCATTTTTTGTATTCATAATGCTCGTATATTGTCAGAAATGTTGAGTTCAGACTATCCTTATTTTGGAATGCCATTCATTTCTCCTTATTATCATTTTAAGTTGTAGTTAGTAAAGCGTCCATTTGCACCTGCTGTGTATTTCCTCATGCGGTTTCTGTTCCTGGTCTTCCCATGCCACAATGTTACAGCTGCTGTTTGTTTTTTATCATTCCTTTTGCAGTGATTTAGTGTATGCTGTGTTCATGCACTTAAGATAAATAAAAGGTAACATTTACTGAAAGCATACTAATAAACATGTAATTTCCCTAAAATAGGGAAACAAAATGAGCTAAAAACAACATTCTTAAATTGAAACTTGAAATAAATAGCCAAATTTCTGTTAGCTTCAATGATACGAAGATTGGACCTGGACGAGTAACAGGCACTTGAAATTAGTTTATAAATTTCCAGATACACACTGTTGTCTATTTGTGTTCAGTCATTTTCTAGCAGATCTCTTGGGAGTTCCATCTGATTTCAGGAAGATCAGACCTCACCATATCAAGTTATTCAAACCTTTTATCTCCATAACCTAAGTTCAATTTTATATTTATTTTTAATTTATTTTTTCATAGTTTCCTAAATAGCAAGACATGTCTTCATTACCAGTCTAATACAAAAAGGGTGAGGTTTGGTGTTTGTGATATTCCCAAGCTAATCACATACAGTTCGATTTTTATATTTCTCAACTAATTCATGGTGAACTACTGAAAAGTCCCCAACACAAACCAAGCACTGGGTGGACATGGCTTCTGGTGGTCTGTCCATTTGAATGTTGATGAAAACTGCAGTTTGTATACATGAAAAAAAAATTCAGATCCCAGAACTAAACATCTGTTCCATATGCTTCACGTTTGTTACGACTGACAATGCAACCTCAGAGTCCTTCAAGGGCGAGTGTCCAGGCCAAACCAGGAATGTAACGTTGCTTTGGAGTTACTCTGCAACACCGTGAATGTGGAGGTTGTTGGTATCTCCATAGCCTTGCTATACTGGTGGTTGAATTTCTGTAAAAGCAGCATTATGAATGCTTATAAAAGAAAGATAAATGGGCTAAGGAGGGAAGTTCTGCTGTGAATTAACACTATTGAATCCTTCAGGCTGCCAGGACTGAAATAATTTTGCAGAAACGTCTTTGTAGTTGTATTTTTAAGGGAAGGGAGGAGGGAGTATCAGGTGCAACAATAACAAGATTTAAATAAAATCATGTCACAAATGGACAATGAACAATTTTGTTCACAACATGAACAGTGAGCGATTTTTCAGAATGAAAATGGTTGGTTTTATTGCTAACTCTTTCATTTGGATGAAGGTGTTTCTGAGGATCTGATGAAATATGTGTTATTTTTAAAACACTCTGTGGAGAGTGAAAAATAGTAAATACCTGAGCAGTGGCCAAAGACAAAAAATGAAAGGTTAATCTGAGGAATTTGTATTCCCATTTATCTAGTTCAAATCTAATAACTATTTATTTCTTTTTAGCAGATAAATGTGTTAGTTCTTGTCCAGGGGATGAAAATGATGATCTTAGCATCAAAACTAAGAGAAATAAGTAAGTTCTAAAGTTTACTTATCTATATGTAATGTTTGGAAGCTAACGTCTGGTACAAATAAGTGCAAAGAGAAATACAATTATTTTCTTCTGTATGGATAACTTCAGCAATAAATTATGAGAGTCATTCCTAAGGTATCCAACTTTCATCAAACTCCATGATTCTCTAAAATATCTGTTTCCTGTGAATATCTGTGAACAGCATCCATTTTTGTCTGAGTAACTCTTACATACTTTGAAATGGTTAAAAAAAGACTGTATGGATAAGTAGTTATTTCAAAGATATTGGATAAAAGCTTTATCTTCATTGATGTGAAGCAGATTTTTTTTCACTGGTGTCAGGGTTTCCAGGCTACTGGCTTAGAAATATCCGGAGGTATTTCTGTTACTGTGCTTTTATTTGACCTTTATTACCATGTGTGTTTCAAATTTTCATGAAGTAACAGGCAAAAAAACTGTGCCAAATAAATAAGCAACTCCCTCACCCTTTGCCAAAACAGCAAGAAAATGAAGTAAACACTTCTATTTTAAGTACCTTAAAGACATTTCATTCTATTTAACCTTTGGCTGGTAACTGCATATAGTGTTAGCTGTTGATGCGGGCTGGCTATGATTAAGATACTGGTTTGGACCATTAAAAAAATAAGTCTGTAAAATAAATCTGCATAGAGAGTGTGCTATATTTTTGAGGGCATTGTGCTGAGTAAGCACAACAAATTTCTGTATTTTCCAAGTGAATATATTGAAGATAATTCTATTCTCTCTTATATTGTCATTTTTATCCTCCTACACTGGGCGGTTCTTTTGACCTTGTTAAGACTTTCTGTGGATTTGTATTATTATGAAGGGAAGAATAAGATACTCCGAGTTCAATACTCAGACTATTTAAGCATTTAATGCTTGGTATAAAAGAGTATATTTATACTTTATATATGCTAAATATGTACTTTCACTCTTTACATAGTATTTAGGTTTTATAAACAGTATAAAAGTTTGTATTTAGTATAAAAGTATTTAAGAATAGTTTTATTGATATCAGTGGGTCTGACAATAATGGGCCAGTATTGTGACCTGTGCTGTTAAGGTGATTCCTTTCAGTGATTGGTTGAGAAAATGTGAAAACATCTTTCCATTAATGTACGTAAATAAAATTCTAAAACTCCAGAATCTTGTTCGTAGAATTCCAGAAAAATGCACTTATTCAAAGAGTACTGTATCAAAGTAGTCTTGGGCTTACTGTGCCGTGTGTCGGAAGGTCAGGCAGTGCCTCTTTCACTGTCTACTTGTGAATAAGGAATATTGTCTCATTTTCACTGGGTTTCCATGACTTATTCACTTGAAAGACTAACTTTGGGTTTTGTAGTCTCTTATTTTCTTTACACTGAAAAGGATGTTGTCAAAATTATGAGACCCAAATATGGACCATCTTTTTATATATTTGCAGAATTTATATCTTATTATTAACTTGCAGAAATCCATTTTCATATACATATTTTTTCTCCAAAGCAAGTAGGTAAATACAGTTCAAGCTGGGCAATCTCAGCCCATCGCAGAGTTGCTGCATGATTCTCCTGCCTTAATGCATTGTAGCATCTTTCTTGTGGTATATATTTATAGATAGGTATATATACATATATAAGCATAAATCGTGCAGCCATCTAGCTAAAAGTTCAGTCGTGTCAGAAATCCCGCAGCACGGTGGCAAGCACCTCCGATTGCCAGCAATGTCTGCTGCGGTAAGGGCAGCAAAACGGCGCTGTGGTGTCCGCCGGTGCTGCGAAGGCATCTCGCGCGGAGAAGAGCATTCACGGGACGGGAAGGCATCCTTTGGGTCTTGAAAAGGTCATTTGAGTCACAGGCAACACAAACTACTCTCAGCTGTGACTTTATGCCACCAAAGTTAAATAGCGCGTGATAATGAATGTATGTCACCTGCTGTTTATGTCATCATTTGTCTTTATATTATGCTATATTTATGTATGGTATAATGAATAATACAACTTTTATCATACTTGAGATTTGTGGCAAGATATTCATTGAGAGGATATTTAAAGCTCTGAGAACCCTATTGTAAGTTCTATCTTTAAAAATAAATCTTTAGATTAGTAGCAACCAATTCTTATTTGCTGTATTTGGGCAGTTAGTCCTATGAAAGTCAAGGGCAGCATTCACATAATAAACAAGTAAGATTTGGCTTGACAACACAGCATTTTCTCAGACTTCGCTGTGATGATCCCAATTCCCCAGAAGTTTGACCTGTCACCAAAAAGCCGTAAAGTGTTTATTTTTCTGTCAGCACAACATACATCCCCAAACTACTACATGATTTCTACAGCTGTTTTGAATTTTAAATTCTCTTTTATAACGTGAAGATTTCCTGACATTTTGCTTTGTACCCTGAAACAATGGCAGAATATAGAGGTTCATGGATGGACCTTTAAAATACTGACCTTTTACTAAAGAAATGCAGTCTAAGTGCTTGTTTAAACGTATTAATATTAGACTATAGATAACAGTTCATGACATAAAAAAGTAAAATATTGTAGGATTTGCATTTCAAACTAGAATTTAGTTATCCTCAGGATGAAAGTCATTTATAAACTCTTTTGCTATTCTAAGATTGTTTTCGTTAATGTGATAGAGATATCCCACTGGAGATTGTGTGGTACCATCTCAGCTGGGTATCCACTGCAGCGGGCAACCTCCCATCTCTGCAGCTGAGATCTAGTAATGGCTGTTTGCACAGCAGTTAGAATTGCTGCTGCCATCAGTGTTTGGAATGCATATTATTGTTTCTAAGTGCTGTGGGTCTCAGTTGCCTACATCTGTGTGTGTCTGAATTAGTCAGCCAAAAGCAGAACTGATTTAAAAACTGTGGCCCGTAATTCCTTGTAAGAAAAGCAGCTGAGTTGCTCTGTGCCATAAACAGCAAAAGGGGAATTCTCAAGACGTAGAGTCTACTAAAGTGCTGGTTAAGCTCCAAGTTTTGGATAAGAGGATACACATCATCAGCTTTTGATCTTCCAAGCTGCACGTACAAGGTCCAAATCTGACTTTCTGTTTCCTCTGCTTTGTTTTACTTGGGAATGGACACTCCAGACTGAATCCAGAGGTGAAAAAAGATTTGTCTTTACAGAAAACTAAACAAATTTTCATTTTGGTGCTGGACGGACAGAAAAACTATTTATGTTGTTGTCATATACACATTAATAATTGCACATGAAGACAGTGAATGTTTTCCTACATTTAACAGAGAATGCTGTTGGGAGGTAGGGAGCACTATCATCCCGCCGTACCGTGATGCTCTGAGCTTCTGTCCCCTGCAGGTGCCCAGGCAGCTGGGCTGGATGGTCACACCGGGGCCAGGAGTCCCCTGGAGCCCAGCCCCGCACTGTGCAGGCAGGCAGCGTTGGCTCAGCACGCTGCGTTCCCGCACCGGGCAGGGCTCGGCATGCACAGAGATCCACTGCAAGTGGAAAGCAGGTTGCAGCTGGACATTCACAGCCCTGCACCTGACATCTGCAGCAGAACGGGGAATGGAACCCCATTTTTACCCCCGCACAGCCATTACCCACTTACGTTTGCAATGTCAACATTTTTTTTCTTGGTTAAGTATAACTAAAAAAGGAGGTGTTACATCCTTTCAGGCTTTGTTTTTAAATATGCTGTATATCCTATTCTATTTTATTTAAGTAAAGTTACTTAGTCAATCATGTTGTTCCTTTGACATACAGTAAATCATCCGCTATACAGAAAGTGCTGTGCTAATGATAAGGTCTAATTGCATCAAAGAGGCAGCACAACTCTTTATAATGCAACTAGAGGGTCATCACACAAAGGTTCACGTTGGATCACCAATTCGCATTGGTAAGAACAGACCTGCTATTTCGCTTCTCCTACTGTTTGCTTTGGTGACAGAGCTAGCAGAGGACCTGACCCAAAGCTGGCTGCAGAAGATAGCAGGACTCCTTTCTCTCATGGACTTTTGCACAACCTCTGTCCAGTGCTTCCAGCCAGAATCTGCATCTGCAGGTTTAGGGGCTCTGGGCTCCACAAGCTGCTGTTGCACTTTTATTTACATTTTGTTGGGGTATAATGAAACTGCTTAAAAATTCTGAAGTCAAATTCTTACTCGGGCAATGTTCTGTTTGTACTCTCTACAAGAGAAAAACAATCTTCAGAGAAACTTAGGTTTTCTGGGTTTTCTTCACAGAATGACAGAAGAGCTCGGGGGTCTCTGTCCCACCCTGCTCCCAGCAGGTCGCGCAGGGACCTGTCCAGGCGGGTTTGAGCATCTCCAAGGATGGAGCCCCACAACCTCCCTGGGCAGCCTGCCCCAGTGTCCGACCATCCTCATAGTAAAAAAGCTTTTTCTTACGCTTAGATGGATTTCCCTGTATTTCAGTTCGTGCCCATTGTCTCTTCTTTCAGCGGGTACCACAGTTATACACAAACGTCTCACTGCCCTTTTGAGATTTTGAGATTTGAGGCTTTTGAGATTTTGAGATTTTGAGATTTGCAGGCTTCCGAGATTGTGCCAGTAGGCTGCACATACGTGTCCAAGTAGGAAGTCACATAGTTTGTTGTGCAGATTATTGTAGTATTTGCTAAAGAAAATTTTATTCTTCATTGTCATTTTTGGCACGAGAAAGAAGTCTGTGATTTGCAGCATCATTTTCAATTGCGTAAGGAT